GGATTGATGTTGAGGGACCTTAAACATTATAAAAATATTGAGTGTCTTTTATGCTATAAAATCATAATATCAGGGACCTTAAAAAAAAAAACCCCTTTTTGTAACTATACTTGTACTAAGATATTTTTTTTATTTATTTAATTTTTCTAAAACCAACATATTTAAATTTTTTCCTTAAATAGAAAATACAAAATTAACAATCTCACTAAATCTTATTTGGTTCAACTTCTTGAATTCAATTTTCTAAAAATTGAGTTTAATGTTTTTCATTTTTCATTTTTTGTTCTTAGTGATTTTTTTTATTATTATAATATTTTTAGCAGTTTGTTTTTACTTTTTGGATGTATCTAACATAGATGTACCCAAAAAGTAAAATATTTGTAAAAAAATATTTAAAAAATTAATAGATATTAATAAATCATCAAATTAATTAATAATTTTTAATGATATTAAAATTTTATTTTAATTAATAATTTAGATAATTTTATTATTGTATAGGAGAACAGATAGAAATTTATTTTTTTAGTTAATTCTGTTAAATAAAAAATTTTGACAGAGACGTATTTGTAATTTTTCAAACCACATGGAGTAATTCGTATTTTAAATAAATCTTAAGAGATGTACTTATAATTTATCTGAAAAAAAGAAAAGAAAAGACATAAAACTATTGCAAAAATAATGTACAATTCAATTACATAGCATGGGTATGGATAAACAAAAATAATAATGCAAAATTATTAGTAAATAGCAAGGGTATGAAACTTAAATTTGGACTGAAACTCAAATTTCAAGACATAAAAGACAAAAAAAAAAAAAAAATTCAAAAAAAATATGAACTTTTAAACTAAATCCAGAAAAAACCCAAATCATGATAATACAATATATTTTTATTTGGGAAGACTAGTGGTGTATACCATATGTACCTTATAATTAAAGAAAAAAATAACATAATTCTATATTTTTTGAGTCAAAACAATAAATAAATAAATAAAATACCACATAAGCTATAACTAAAGATCTCATAAATTATAACTAAAATATTATTATAACTAAATAAAAAAAATGATATAACTAGGGATGTATATGGTACACCCCTTTCAAATGTGTGTATATAGTAGAATTTTATATTTTTATTTTATTGTAATTTTATGCAATCGTTGTATAAAATATAAATTTGTTTTTCTTTGTATGTATATTTTTGAAATGAAAAATTAGTCCAGGGTCTCTTTCCCACTTTTCGTAATGGAAGAGATCCACAAAATTATTTTTTGATGTCTAAGATCCCTAAACACATCACAGATAAATTTGACCTTACCAAATCAAAACTCATCTCTCTCTCTCTCTAAACTTCTCCATTCTCAGACTTGTCCAGATCAACTCTTGTTCCTCACCCCTGACTTCATTCTCCAGTCGATTGAGCTCCACCTTCACCGGATCCGACCCGTGCAGCAAATTCAAGAACTCATCCGCGTCCAAACTCGGCGGCCTTTGCGAAGCTCGCCTCCTCGAACTCTTAAACGATCTCGACACCGTCAACGATTGCCGCCGTTCTCGCCGTAACTTAGTTCTGGCGCCACCGGTGACACACCTCTCATCTCCAGAAGAGAATGACGACGAACGGCCGGCTATCGTCGTTTTCTTCCTCCTCATTCCCAGAACAGTACTTCGACATACCCATATCCGAAATGCCAAAATGGGTCGATGAGTACATTGACTAGATCGGGTCGGTATTGAGAGAATGCGGGTGGGACGAATTGGATTGTTGTCAACTACAAGGGTGAGGACAAAGCAGTTTGCAGCTGAGGAAATTTCTTCAATGGTTCTCATCAAAATGCGTGAGATTGCAGAGGCGTTCCTTGGTTCCACTGTGGAAAATGCTGTGGTCACTGTCCCTGCCTACTTCAATGATTCTCAATGTCAGGAAACAAAGGATGCTGGTGTAATTGCTAGTCTAAATGTGATGCGTATCATCAATGAACCCACTGCCGCTGCCATTGCTTATGGTCTTGACAAAAAGGCAACCAGTGTTGATGGGAAGAATGTGTTGATTTTTGATCTCGGTGGTGGTATATTTTGGTCCAGAGAAATCTAGAGAAATTTTGATTTGAACTAAATTTTCTCTGGTTTGGTCCAGAGAAATCTTTGTTTAGACTGAATTTATTTTTTATTTGAATTGAATTTTCTCTAGGCTAAAGAGAATTTCTCTGGAAATGTTTCTTTAGGAATTTCATTGATTTTGAGAGAATTTCTCTAGGTTAAAGACGAATTTCTCTGATTTTAATAAATTTCTCTAGGTTGTTAAGGGAAATTTCTCTGGTTTTGATAAAATTTCTCTGGGTTGAAGTGAGTCCAGAGAAATTCTTTCCTGATCTAGAGAAATTCTCTGGATTTCTCTAGTTTAAACTCAGTTTGTTTAATTTTTTCTACCTTTAATTGAGTAAAATTGGATTAGACATCCACAATATTATGTAGATTCAGAGCATTCTCATTCTGATTCACTGAATTGAATTTCACTGATTCAATTGAAAATTCAAGAATTTCACTGAATTGAATTCAGTGAATCAGTGGACTCCATCTTAATCAGTCCAATTTTACTAAAGAATAACACTGAATTGAATTTTCTCTGGTTTGGACCAGAGAATTTCTCTGGATTAAATTGAATTTTCTCTGGGTTTGGACCAAAGAATTTCACTGGATTAAATTTTCTCTGGATTGATATTGAGAGATCTTAGACATTATAAAAATATTGAGTGTCCTTTATGCTATAAAATCATAATACCAGGGACCTTAAAAAAAAAATCCCTTTTTGTAATTATACTTGTACTAAGATATTTTATTTATTTATTTAATTTTTCTAAAACCAACATATTTAAATTTTTTCCTTAAATAGAAAATACAAAATTAACAACCTCACTAAATCTTATTTGGTTCAACTTCTTGAATTCAATTTTCTAAAAATTTAGTTTTATGTTTTTCATTTTTCATTTTTTGTTCTTGGTGATTTTTTTTATTATAATATTTTAAGCATTTTGTTTTTACTTTTTGGATGTACCTAATTTAGATGTACCCAAAAAGTAAAATATTTGTAAAAAAATATTTAAAAAATTAATAGATACACAAAAATACCAAAATATATTATTATTTTTTAATATTTTTGATATTTAGTGAATTTTTTAAAGATTTTTTTTTCATAAATATTATACTTTTTAATTGCATTTCTATTAAGTGTATTTAAAAAGTTAAAAAATTACTTAAAATATTTTTAAAAAATTACTAAAAACAAAAAACCCATAAAAACAAAAAATAAAAAAATTAAATTCAAGAAGTGAAATTTTTAAAAGGACGTTCAAGTGAAAAGTTTAAATTTTATTTAACAAAATGTCTAGGAGCAGAAATATTTTGTCCATAAAAAGATGCTTAACTAAAATAACCAACATACCCATATTATATATACCTACCTAGGGTTAGAAGCTCCATTGCCACTCTCTCTCTCTCTCTAAACCATTCCGCTCTACATATTTCCCTCTATTTCTCTCTCAAATATCCAGAAAGCATTAGAACCACCATGATCGCCGAATCGCCGTCATCTGAGCCTCTCCCTACCATGGTCGTCATCTTAGCCCCGTCGCTACCACCGCCACCCCTTCCTCCACCTCACCCAACATATTGGAATTTCAGTAGATAAATATTCTGATAAATAGATATAAATTTGACAGACAGGGGGGACAATTGAATAGGTTGGAAGAAAAATTAAATAGATAGGAAAAAAATAAACAGATAGTCAAAAAAATTTGAACAAATAGATATAAATTTAAATAGATAGATATAAATTTGAACAGATAGTTAAAAAAAGTCAATAGATAAAAAAAATCAACAAACATAAAATTGAAAACAAAATGTCATTCAAAACGAATAAAAGGACTTCTCATCGAACTATTTCACAAATGGTGGACCTCTCACTAACAAAAATATTTATTGAATCTAATGCCTTATACTCTTCTCATATTGAATTTATCACAAGTTTTCTCTTTTTAAAAAACTATATGTCAAACACAACCTAAAAAAAAAAAAATTAAATTAAATTGTTTACAATTTTTTTAATATCGAACTACTTCCTCACCAATCCAACGGAGAGCTTCTAATGCCACGTTTATTTGGCGGATTAAATTGGATATAATTGTTAACGAAGGGATGATTAATGAAGAGATTATTAGTGAGAGGATTAAGTAAAAGTGTATTTGTTTTTGATGATAGTGTAAGAGATAAGTAGTAATACAATTGTTAAATTATTTTTGTATAGCATAAATAAAAAAATTATTTCTATATTAAAAAAATAAAACAAATATTAAAAAAACAGGTACAATTGATAATAAAAAAATATACTATTCCGAATAGACTCAATTCGCTCATTATTTTCTTAATCTCACTACCCATTCAACCCAGCTAAGGGGATTACTAAACTACTTAGACTATCAATTCACCCTTTTATTTCACTACCAAACACACTGTTGGTGAGACCACAGCCATAATAGTCCGAGACCACAGCCATAATAGTCCAATCCATCGCTCAGAGCATCCACAATGGATGCGTTAGTGAGTGTATTAGTGTCAGATGTTAGTTTTTGGGCAACCAAAAACACTGTTGGATGCTGTAATGGGTGTGTTGGTGGGTGTGTTAATGCTGTGTGTTAGTGTCAGCTGTTAACTTGTGTGTTAACTATGGCTAGCGTCTTAACTAGCAAAGAGAGAGAGAGAGATGTGTGTGCCTGGGCAAGTCCTCGCAGACGTTCGGCCGAAAGCCCCCCGAACATCTGATTGGTCAACCGACGGTCAGCTAATTTTTTTTTTTCACTTATTTTTTATTAAATTAAATTATTTATTTATTATTTATACATATATATATATATATATATATATATTCTTAACACATCCCTTGACAGTCCATCACACCACCACCCACTATAACAAACTCCCTAACGCATCAGGCCGCCCCACTATAACAAACTCCCTAACGCATCAGGCCGCCAAACAAACCTCTCCTAAACTCTTTCTCGCTTATTTCTCCCTCTGGTAGCAGTTAAAAAACCCTATATATTCATTCATTTTTCGAATTCTCATCAGTTGATCAAATCAGAGAGTTTTGATTGTTGATTGAAGAGATGAGAATCAAAAGTATCGGAGGAGGAAAGCCAAGGCTCTTCGAACTTCCTCCCAAACCCTCCTCCACGGCCTTCGATTATCTCGCTCAGGTCTATGTTATACATGTAATATGTCTGTATATATGTGTTTAGGTTTTGATTTTTTTTTTTTTTCATTTTGAGTTCATAATTATTCTGTGAAACTGATTAGAAAAGACAAGTGTGGCTGTTAAATTGTGGTTTCTCAGCTCCTATGATCTCGGAATTTGAATTGGTATGTGAAAACAATTGAAATCTTTTACTACTACTGAGTTTGAGCTTGTATTAGTAGAATAGAAAGTGAAATTTGTCTCCAGGATCAATTATAATGCTTTTAGAAAGTGTTCCAAATTCATGTCCCATATAGCTTTGGAAATTGGAAGTGTTTGGTTTGAAATTTGAAAATTGAATGTGCTGTTCTTGTTGTTTTAAGCAAGATTGATAGAGGTTTTGAGGTTGGAAGCGGTAGAATTGCTCCCAAAATGCAATATAGGTGCTATTAAAATTTCTAGATGCATTTTTGTTTCCTTGTATTGTGTATGATGAGAGTTTTTAACGTCTTCAATAGGTAGAAATAGAAAATAAGGGTTGGTTTCTGAAGTAGCCCTTTTAGTGGCTATTCGGTTAAAATATGAGGTGAAAAAAATTAAAAGTATTTGGTAAAAGCCTTTTGACTTTTTACAAAAAAAATGTGTAAAAAAATAGAGAGAATGAGAAAGAATATTTGACTTTTTGATTTTTTTGACTTTTTCAGTGGCTTTTTAGCTATATCAGCTAGTGCCAAATGTCCCCTAAATGAGAATATAACAGTAAACAGTATGTATTTTTAAAATTGCAAAAGTAAGAATGCTTGAATTAAAATAAGTATGCATTAATGTATATAAAACATAAAGCGGAGTTAAAATATCTAGAACAAAAGATATAGCCAGTGTTTTTAAAGGCTCAAGGCGCAAGGCGCAAGGCGAGGCGCGGGCTTTATTGAAGTAAGGTGCACAGTCTTAGTAAAAAATAGATAAATTAACATAGATTAATCATTCATAATACTAAAACAATTTTTTTTCAAAAATAAAAAGTAATCAAGACAAATTATAGAATAATTATGCACTAACTTTAACTTGTTCATCAATTCTTTCTCTTCACTTTACATACACTTTAATAATGTAGCAACTTTGTTTAAACTGTACAAATAGCACAATATTATTAAACGCAATTTGTTGATTTTTTTTTTCCATATTAGTTTTTTATTTTCATATATTTGAAGTTGAAAACAAATTTCGTATTAGTTTCATGACAATAACATTGTGTATAACTTTGTAAATTATTTTCAATAGTTATTTATGTAGTTGTTTTATTTGAATTGAATGTAATTACTTTTAATTGTTTTTTGAATTAAAATTTGATATTTAAAAATTTGAATTCATAACATAAATGAAAAGAATTATTAAAATAAGAGAAGTGAGAGAATAAGAGAGATAAGAGAGACAAGAAAAAGGGTTAGAAAAATGGCAAGTGAAATTGAGACCTATTCTTATTTGTGTAAGCCTTATTTGTATTTCAGTGTAATATAAGCCTTATTTGTATTTTTTTATTTTATTTTTTTCAACAGAGACTAAACTGAAATTAATAAGAAGAAAAAGCAGAATAATAAGAAGGAGAGAGAGAGAGAGAGAGAGTAGAGAGTCGAAGTCGAAGTCGAAGAAGGAAACCAAAAAAAAAAACAGAGCAAGTCGAAGAAGAAGCAAGCAGCGAAGAAGAAGAAGGAAAAAAAAAGAAAAAAAGAAAAAGGCAACAGATTTCTTCTTCGCTGACCAGCAAAGAAGAAGAAGCAGAAGAGAAGAAGAAGAATAAGTGACTTGATGAGCCGAAGTTGACATCGAGAGAGGAGAGGAGCCCAGTCGAAGTCGAGAGAGCAGTTCAGTCGAAGTTGACAGATTTCTTCTTCGATAGATTAGGGCTTTGAGTGAGTCGTATACTGATTTGGATTGGGTTGTATTGTATTACATGAGTTGTAATTCTATGTGGTTGGAGCCTCTCCCACACAGATCACAACCGCTAAATCAGATTCAAGAAGAAAAACACAAAGCCCCTTCAGGCTCGTGCCTTGCGCCTCGCTGCCCCTGGTCAAAGTCGCGTCCAAGGCGCGCAACTCTTCAAAAGCTCCTCGCCTGGGTCCCCTTCAGGCGCAATGGGTTCACCTCGCTGCACCTTGCGCCTACGCGCGCTTTTCACAACACTGGATATAGCATTTCAATACATTATTATATTCTAGAATCAAATTTACTATAAATTTTTTTTATTATTATTACTAATTGTGTAATATATTTTCATTTTATTGAGTTTTAATATTTAATTACAACTTTTAAGTTCTCAAATAGCTCATCTAAAGTTGAAATTCTATATTTTAAATAAGTAGGCATAAATCATTAGCACAAGATACTTAATACCATACAAGTAGATATTTGTCAAAAATATAGACAAAAAAAGAAGAAGTACCATTCTCATCTAAAAAAGTATAAAGTTTTATTGTTATTAGGATTTACTTTATATAGCTTAATTTGTTTGCAACCTCTGCACAGCCCTCTGATTTTGAAGCATGCCCTGATTGCTCTCACGATGATACTTGGGGCAATGAAGCTAATAATGATTTGCAGTGTAATACAGTACCTGAAACTTCTATTGATCATGATCATGAAAGGCGATGCCGTGAGTTGGCTCTGAATACAACTGGCAGGACAGTTTTTGTTATGGAGAAGTCTTGTGGCTTGGGTCCTCAGGGCATGTGGGGGCTAGAAGATTGTTTGGAAATGGATTGGACAGAGAAAGAAGTTTGTATAAAATGTGATAAAGGAGGCAATTTGTTGATTTGCAGTGACTGCAACTGCCCGTTAGCTGTTCATGAGGAGTGTATGCACTGTTCAGCTCAGTTCGATAGTATGGGAAACTTCTACTGTCCTTATTGTTCATATAAACGAGCCACAATAGAAACACGCAAAGCAAGGAAAAAGGCAATGCTGGCAAAAAAAGCTTTATCAGTTTTTCTTGATAAAGGAATGACGAATGGTGACCCATGGAAGCAAAAGGCTGAGAGAGTTTGGAGGCCAAATCCATCAACAGTTGTGGGAGATAAGGAACATGACGATACTCGGAATAGATTGGATGGTGATGCAGTTGACAACCATTCTGTTCAAATAGAGGAAAATCAACGAGAAGAAAGATTTGATCCTGGAATCAGAACTAGCAAATATTTTTGTAAAGGTGTTGAGGCATCGGCAGCGAATGAGCAAAATGACAATGTAAGACCGAATGATAGCGGTCAGCATAGGATAGTGATTGAACAACAGATTCACCCAGAGCCTGTTATTGCCTCTGGTGGTGGTGGTGATTGTTCCAGCGAAGAAGAGACAGATCATCAATTTGAAATTGTACATGTTGGCAAAAGTGCTCAAGCAGAGCATGCAAAACTAGTTGATGACCGCCAAAATAAGAGAGTGGCAGGGTCTTTAAGTGCTTCTTCCCTAGAAAAAGAGACAAAATTAGATGGTGCACTTCACATATCGACCGAAGAGGAATTGGACAATGCAGGGATAGTTGAGGATAAGGGCAGAAGGCGAGAAGAAGAGATGCAGGAACAAGAACAGGGAACTACTGTATCCTCCAGTGGAGGAGATTCTATGCAACAGGAGCATGCAAAAATTAGTGATTTATCCTGTGGAGAGAGTGGGGATGTTTCACCACATTGGAGGCGCATTAAAAAAAGGAATCAAAATGTTGTACAGCCTCCAAATGTTGATCGCACAAGGCAATCAGTGAGGAAGTTATCCTCTGAAGCAAAAACCAATGTGATACACAAGGAGAAAAAGAATGCAACAAGCAAATCTAGACAACGGACGTGAGTAATTCATATAATTATAACATAAATTACTAATTCAAGCTGAAAATGACATAATTATGTCACCTAATAATAGCTATGGTGTGTAGCTTTAATAATCTTTTTTAAATTACTAAATTACTAATTGAAACTTTTTTTGTATTTTTTCTTTTATTTCTAAATTGCAGACCAAACTTGGGATTTCCTAATGTGAAGCGGAAAAGACTACCATGGACTGCTGAAGAGGAAGAAATGCTAAAGGTATGGGTTCTTCACATCGCTGTTCTACTTATTTAACAGTTAACACAAGTGGAGAGTTGAATAGCTCTTACTGTTTTATTATGTTAAGGAAAAGTAAGTTGAAGGAATTAAAAAGTTCAGACATTGCTGTCTGATTAAGATTCCCTTTCCACCAGTTGTATCTATAATGTTACCTGAATATAAAGCACAATTTTATCGCACAAAATAGATTAAAAAAAAAAAATGTGATTGTTATTCTATTTTATTTTTTTTATGGAGTTTGCATATCCTTCCTTTTGAGCTTTGATAGGTCAGATCTCTCAATTTGCACTAGCACCCAAAACCCCTTATCAGCAGATAGAAATGGAGTCTTTCATTCCAATAAAGGAGTGCTTCACATAAATTTGCAATATATTTTTTCCTTTATTAGACCATTTTAGAGAACAAAAGAGTACACCCAGCTTCTGACAAATACCTTATCCCTTAATGACAACTTGAAACCATGGCTAGAATAATTGGCGCTTTTCTTTTCATGCATTCCTAACTCATCAGTGAAAAGACCATACCCTACAATTTTAAATTAATTTCAACACAAGGATTTAAATTCTAAAATTATCGATCAAGGTTCTAAAACATGCTTTTTAACATATCAGGCTTTGTCCAAAACTATCACAGAATTTATGTAGAATGTAAGAAAAGAAAAATAACGAAAGCCTCGATTGAGTCCCACACAAAAACTTCTTGTCATGGATTTTGTCGAATAAGCAACTAGATCATGCAATTTACTTGGGCCACATTTTAATCGTTGAGCATAATAATATTTTAGTCTATCAGGAAACAATTCTGAAGGATCACAGGATATGACACTAGTAAAATATTTTGAAATACAGAAATGATAAATCTTAAAGATTTTATTGTAAAGATGTGAATGAAGTTGACAAAAGCAAATACATTCTGAAAGAAAATACTGTACAAGCATTTATAATGCATTTTATAGCAGTATCCATCCATCATTATGTGCATGTTAACTTGGGGTGGATCCAAGGGGGGCCTAGGATCAGTTCTCCGTTACCAAAAAAACAAAAACCCTTTATGCTGTGTTTTGTTGGGGGATTTGAGGAGGGATTTGGAAAATGAAATGGAAAAGATAGGTGAAACCTGAATAAAATATATCTATATTTCATTTAGTTTCACACACTTTTCTTTTTCTCTTTTCAAATCTCTCTCCAAATCCCCCAACCAAATACAACATTAGAGACGAATTGGAAATATTTCAAATGCCTGAAAAGCCCATTAATTTTGTTTTTCCTCCTACTTACAGCCATCTAACTTGATTAAGCACTCTAATGCTGCAGGAAGGAGTGCAGAAATTCTCAACCATGGTCAACAAGAATCTCCCATGGAGGAAAATTTTGGAATTTGGTCATCATGTTTTTGATGGGACTCGAACCCCAGATGACCTTAAGGACAAATGGAGGAAAATTTTGGTCAAAGAATGCTCAACAAAATAATTGAAATTTGCTTTGCTAGCAACAGACTCAGAAAAGCAGGAGGTAATTTTTTGTTTTTTAGGGGTTGTTTGGGATGTCCTAAATAAGTATACTTTTTGTCTTTTTGGACTAAAAGGTTGAGGGAAAAAAAGATGGATGTTTGGATTAACTTTTTGACTTTTTATGAAAAAATGTGTATTAAAAAATTGTATAAATAAGTGTATAGGAGAAGTTAGTGAAGTAACCCATACACTTTGGACAGTGTAGTGGGCTGGTTAGGAGATGGAAATGATTGCCTCCTTTTCGGGCTTGAATTTGACGATGTTGTTCGGCCCGTGGAGGCTCACTGCAGGTCTCATTTTGCTAATCGGAACCGTTGAATGTGTAGAACTCGTCGAGTACTATATGTTTGTAAAAAATCACGTTGATTGCATATCGATAGCTATCTGATCGTGTTAGTTTTTTTGTCAACGGTTAACTATAACACAATTTATTTTTTATACAAAACTGATTTGATAATGTAGTTAGCGATATCCGATCAACGTGATTTTTTACAAGCATATAGTACTGGATGAGTTCTACATATTCAACGGTTTAGATTATCAAAACGGGACCCGTGGGGGCCCCAACGGCCCCAACATTACCATCTCACTTGGTGAATATATATATGTATTTTTTTTTTTTGTTCTTTTTAGTGTACTCTCCTTTCCCGTCAGTATTTAAAGTGGTGTAAAGTTGGTTTGTATTAAAATATTATGTTTATTAATTTTTTTTATATTTTTAATTTGTAAATAGTGATGACTTTTTGACTTTTTTTTTTTTATAATTTTTTGATTTTTTAGATTTTAACTTTTTCTGAAGTTGCCAAACTAGCCTATGGGGTTGTTTGGGGTGTCCTAATTAAGTGCACTTTTTGACTTTTTAGAATAAAAAGTTGAGAAAAAAATCAGTTTGTTTGGTTCCAGTTTTCAGAAAACAGTTTTCAAAAAATTCTATTTTTCATTTTTCGTATTTTAATGTTTTCAATGAATTTTTTTAATATTTTAAGTAATTTTTTTTAATTTTTAGACATACCTTGTTCTTGTTGGACTGGATGTGAAATTGAAATGTTATCTGAATGAAGGATTTCACACACACATATATATATATTTTGGGGGTCACTTTTTTCAATTTATTTATTTGTTTTTATTTTTTATTTTTTCATTCACAAACTCAAAATTCAAGCACAACATTAAAATGAGATTTGGTTAAAACTTGGCTAGATGATAAATAAGTCCCCCGTTTAAAAAAAAAACTTTCGTCGGGAAATGAGAGTCCATAATTTGAATAAAAAATTATTCAGTGTGACCATTTTACTTGAAAATTTCCTTAGGAAGAAAAACTATTAAAATTAACTAAATTTAGAGAGTGAAATTCTGATATAAAAAAAGAATTGTAAAAAAGAACCTTAACGCTATATTTGGTCAAGATATTTGGGAAGAGATTTAAAAAAAGAAAGGGAAAAGATGTGTGAAATTATGTAAAATGTAAGTATATTTTATTTATATTTCACCTAATTTTTCTTTTTCCTTTTCTAAATCCCCCAATCAAACACAACTTAATGTAATGTTATTTAGAAATGTGTTTTTGCCTAATTAATTTGGAAAAAAAACTAAACTATATTTTATTAAATGCCTTATTGTTAAAAAAATTAAATTTTTTTTTTTGCTCTAGATGTATTTTAAGTTCTAACAGTGTAATCTAGACAAATCTATCCCTATTGTACTAAATTTTTCAACATGTGGCTTATCTACTATCCCATTCTTGTACCACATATCGAAATGATCTGTGTAAAGAAACGATCCATGTTTTAGGTAGCATAGATCATGTACCACATATCGAAATGATCTGTGTAAAGAAACGATCCATGTTTTAGGTAGCATAGATCATGTTGCTTGTTGTAAAGTGTATTAGGGGTATCTATAGATGGATTTTTTGTTACAAAATATATATATATATGCGACGAATGTAATTCGTCGTCAATAAATTCCCTACTTATTAAACGATGTCGTTGCATATTTCCATTTATTAGGCGACAAATATATTTTTGGAAAGGGGAGTCCCCATATATGGCAACAAAAAAGGGTTTGGGTTTGGGTTTGGGTTTGGATTTGGGTTTGGGTCCGGATCCGGAAGGAGGATATATATATCTAGATGACAGTTTCGCTTGGAATCAAGGCATCCTTCATTATAGTGACAATCCCACTCTTTATGAAGTATCCATCTGTTTCTCTGGCCGCTTCTTGAATGTTGTCACTGTTAATGATCTGGTATATGACAAAATTTCACATTAAATATGGACATGAGTTCTGAGCGATAAAAACAACAATTCTACATTCATGACATTCACAAAAAAATTGTCACTATTAATGATTTAGAATGACAAAATTTCATATTAAATATGTAAATGATTTCCAAGTGATCAAAGCAATGATTCCATATTTCATCACAAACACAAAAATAGCAAGCAATGGATATTTTTGTTTTGGCAATGCATAGTGCTCCTGGAGCATTGGATTGTGTCAAGAGTGGGGTTAAAGAAATGTTTTAGGAATAGGTGAAATTATAAAATAAAATAAAATAAATGTTCTAAAACTAGTGAAAAGTGCCTCATATTCTTTTCCTTGTGCCCTAGAGGCGGGCATTTGTTAGCAATACCCTTTTTTTTTTCTCTTCTTCTTTTTCAAAAAAAAAAAAGAAAAAGAAACAAGGTTTTTCGTTCTTCTGGAAATTCAGGAATTTGGCATCATCTTAGCACATATATAATAATTGTTCTATAAAAACTTTTTCCTTTTAGTATTGATGGTGTTGTATACATGCGTGTCTTAGAGTTTCCTATATCTTAATTAAAAATTTTGAGAGTTTCCTATATATTAATTAAAAATTTTGAAATAGAACAGTTATTTGAATTCTACCACTTCATAATTCAAAAAATAAATAAATAAAGTAATTAAGTTCTAAAATTTCGAGTACCCCAACCTTAACATTTTCTCCGATGCGAGCATTTTTGTCAATGATTGCTCTTTTGATGTGAGCGTTCTTGCCAATACCAATTGGAACACTACCATTTGCAGCCAGAAAGTTCCTGTCAGCATCCGTCTGGAGCAAGAAGATGAGCAAATTGTAAGTATAAGAATTGCAAATTCAATAAAAAGTCAAGTCACCAGCCAATTCACATACTTTTTATAGATTACAGCACTGCATTTCCAAGAATCTCAACAATTACAAGTAAGTTGTTGGTATTTAGGGGTTGTTTGGGATGACCTAAATAAGTGCACTTTTTGTCTTTTTACGAAAAGATGTGCAGAAAAGTAGAGAGGTGATGTGATGAAAAAAAAATAAAAAGATAAAAAGATGAATTATTTTGTGTATGCCAAACTTGGCCTTACCTCATAATAATCTGCTCCCATCAACAGTGTATCTTCTATAATTGCGCCTTCTGATATGCAAGATCGAAGCCCAACCACAGAATGGTGAATTCTACAGTTCTGCACAGGGAAGTATGAAGGATTTAATTGACAATAAAACTTCATTCTCTAACACAATAATGGATCTCTACATCACACATAAGCCAACAAGTTTATGACATGCCACTTGTCCTCCCTGGGAGGTGGCACGATATGGGTAGGCTCATTTACATTAGTTGTGTGTAAAACATGAAGGAATATGATATGCATATATAATTTTTTATACATAATTTAAGATAAGAATGATATGACAGTGACATTTTTACAATTATGAACCAAATTGATGGATATTTTAACTTTTAATGAATGAATATAAATAAGATATATCATTCTGTATGAATTTTTTTTGTATATAAATTATGTTTGTGTAGCATTACCCAAACATAAATGTTGTCAGATGGGCAAAGGATTTCCTTTTTCACCAATCCCCAAGTGTAACGTGTCCCTCAACATGCAACACGAGATTCTGACCAAAGTGTGGCTTTGAAAGGACCATATGTACATTGCTTTACCCTAATTTCTAGAAAGGCCATTTCTGTTGCTCGAATCCTCGTGACTAGGGACGTTAACAAGAAGCCTTACTGTTGGGCTGAGCCACCCTTTACATTATGCAATCCACATCAAAACCTTGACATCAAGGTAACTCACACTGAGCATTTATTCAGCATGAGTTACCTTAATGCCACAAATCACTGTCATTTTATTTATCAAAAAAAAATCACCATTATTTGTGAAACCTTCAGAGATCTTGTCAACAAATACGAGTTACCTTGATTACACAACCTTCACCAATAACACTATCTGTGACATCAGCATCAAGCATCTTGGAAGGAGGCAAGTATCGAGGTTGGGTGTAGATTGGTGCTGAGCGATCATAGAAGCTGCAACAGAAGTCAAAGATGGCGTCACAGTTTTCAAACTATAAAAGAGCAGCTGGTATTATAGCATATTAAAGGGTGATGAAAGATACAAGTCTGATAATCAAGAATACGAGTTTCCTATATATTAATTAAAAATTTTGAAATAGAACAGTTATTGAATTCTACCACTTCATAATTCAAAAAATAAATAAATAAAGTAATTAAGTTCTAAAATTTCGAGTATCCCAACCTTAACATTTTCTCCGATGCGAGCATTTTTGTCAATGATTGCTCTTTTGATGTGAGCGTTCTTGCCAATACCAATTGGAACACTTCCATTTGCAGCCAGAAAGTTCCTGTCAGCATCCGTCTGGAGCAAGAAGATGAGCAAATTGTAAGTATAAGAGTTGCAAATTCAATACAAAGTCAAGTCACCAGCCAATTCACATACCTTTTATAGATTACAGCACTGCATTTCCAAGAATCTCAACAATTAGATGTAAGTTGTTGGTATTTACCTCATAATAATCTGCTCCCATCAACAGTGTATCTTCTATAATTGCGCCTTCTGATATGCAAGATCGAAGCCCAACCACAGAATGGTGAATTCTACAGTTCTGCACAGGGAAGTATGAAGGATTTAATTGACAATAAAACTTCATTCTCTAACACAATAATGGATCTCTACATCACACATAAGCCAACAAGTTTATGACATGCCACTTGTCCTCCCTGGGAGGTAATAGATCTCTACATCACACACAAGCCATCAAGTTTATGACATGCCACTTGTCCTCCCTGGGAGGTGGCACGATATGGGTAGGCTCATTTACATTAGTTGTGTGTAAAACATGAAGGAATATGATATGCATATATAATTTTTTATACATAATTTAAGATAAGAATGATATGACAGTGACATTTTTACAATTATGAACCAAATTGATGGATATTTTAACTTTTAATGAATGAATATAAATAAGATATATCATTCTGTATGAATTTTTTTTGTATATAAATTATGTTTGTGTAGCATTACCCAAACATAAATGTTGTCAGATGGGCAAAGGATTTCCTTTTTCACCAATCCCCAAGTGTAACGTGTCCCTCAACATGCAACACGAGATTCTGACCAAAGTGTGGCTTTGAAAGGACCATATGTACATTGCTTTACCCTAATTTCTAGAAAGGCCATTTCTGTTGCTCGAATCCTCGTGACTAGGGACGTTAACAAGAAGCCTTACTGTTGGGCTGAGCCACCCTTTACATTATGCAATCCACATCAAAACCTTGACATCAAGGTAACTCACACTGAGCATTTATTCAGCATGAGTTACCTTAATGCCACAAATCACTGTCATTTTATTTATCAAAAAAAAATCACCATTATTTGTGAAACCTTCAGAGATCTTGTCAACAAATACGAGTTACCTTGATTACACAACCTTCACCAATAACACTATCTGTGACATCAGCATCAAGCATCTTGGAAGGAGGCAAGTATCGAGGTTGGGTGTAGATTGGTGCTGAGCGATCATAGAAGCTGCAACAGAAGTCAAAGATGGCGTCACAGTTTTCAAACTATAAAAGAGCAGCTGGTATTATAGCATATTAAAGGGTGATGAAAGATACAAGTCTGATAATCAAGAATACCTGAAATCCGGCACTGGCTTTTTGGTAATCCCTAGATTGGCATTATAAAAAGCCTCAATAGTACCTATGTCTTCCCAGTACCCATCGTACAAGTAAGCTTGCACCTATAGAAATGAAGTTGCAATTACACTTTAAGTGATCATGATTCTGGAGAAATAAAATGCAAATAGAAGATTAATTTAAAGTTTTTTTCCTAGTCCAATAGATTTACACAGGATGCAGGTAGAATTACCAGAAGCAATAATTAATGATTTGCTACAAGTAATAGGATATTTGTATTAGCTTCAAGATCGCATAGTAATGGAGAACTAGAGCAATTTTTTCGTGTCCTCAGCATTGTGGGTAGCAGATCTACCCCTTTCAGTCCGCCCAAACAAACATGGCCTTTAAGTGATCGTGATTCTGGAGAAATAAAATGCAAATAGAAGATTAATTTAAAGTTTTTTTCCTAGTCCAATAGATTTACACAGAATGCAGGTAGAATTACCAGAAGCAATAATTAATGATTTGCTACAAGTAATAGGATATTTGTATTAGCTTCAAGATCGTATAGTAATGGAGAACTAGAGCAATTTTTTCGTGTCCTCAGCATTGTGGGTAGCAGATCTACCCCTTTTACATAGGCCCCGATATAATAACACAAACTTTTGACTGAGATGGCTTCAGTAAACATAACAATATGTTTGGTATCCTTTGAGATGTCAATGATAAAAGAAAAGAATCTACGGAGAAAAAAAGAATACATACTCTCATCCCAATGGAAGTTGCACCAGGAATAACTTCACTTCCAAAATCATTAGCTGCAGGGAAATTGTCCCGAAGCAGACTCATCATGACATCTTTGCTCACAACATATATACCCATACTCGCAATGTAAGGCATCTCTTTAGCTCTCTCATCATCAAGACCTAAAATAGTAGTGTCAACCTAAAATACAACAAATAGAGAAAATCCATCATGATCTGAGTTTATTTATGAATCTTGGAAATAAAATCATAAGATCTTATAAAATCCCTGATGAAGAATAAAAACAAGAAGTTCTAAGGAGGAAAAAAACCTTCATAGCTTTCAATTGTTCTCCGTTCGGTTTCTCTGCAAATTCAGTTATACGCCCTTCTTCATCAATCTTCATCAGGCCAAATGCAGTGGCACGTTTTTCATCCATCGGCAGTGCAGCTACGGTGATATCAGCATCAGTCTCTCTATGGGCTTGAATAAATTTCCCATAGTCCATACGGTACAAATGGTCCCCAGCAAGAACCAAGAATTCTAGAACATTCTGTTCCTCAAACAGCCACAAATACTGTCTCACAGCATCAGCTGTACCCTAAGAACCATAAAATAGAATTCAAGACAGGGTGTCAAGTAACCCGGCAAACTGATTGATTCAACAAGAGCTTTAATCTGCTCACTTCAAATCTATATACCCATGAAGCTAGTCCTAGGTTGACAATAGTCGGTTTGATTATGAATTAACATCTTGGGCAAACCCAAACATCAAACCAACAAACTGTTCCCTGTGTCATGCTTATGATGGTGTTGCAAGTGGAGACAGAATCCGATGAAGTCATCAATAAAAGTAGTAAAAAGAGAAAACCCTCCTACCTAACATTTATTTCCCACGTACTTAAATAATGAAGCAGGATGTCCATAGCATATCCCAACTAATTGAAACTATAAAGTTGTAACTCAAGTGAGGTACTCGGGTGGCCTTCAACATATAGAAGTGTTATCCTCTTCAACATTTTGATATTTTACTATAATGCTGATTACTGATAATACGGTGTGTTAAATGTTGAGCCATGACAGAAGATATGAAGTAAAATTATAAATTGAAACAAATAATAGCATTCACATTGTTAGTGTATAATTGTTATGTTAGTGTATAATTGTTAATAGCTTTAATTATTACTAACTTTAGCACTTTATTCTTTATGTTTATGCTTTCGGTGTGCATCAACATCCAATGCACCATAATTCTCTCTATAAAGAGAGTGTAGCATTCTCTTTGTAATACACACATTTATTGACAGACAAACAATACATTGTCTCTCTCTCTATCCTCTCTCACTTTCTCAAACTATTATTTCATGGTATCAGAGCCCAGTAATACAATTCTGGCATTCTTCAATTTTGGTGCCTAGCCTCGTACACAGTGGAACTACACCAAACAGTTCGGAATCTCCTTACGATTCCAACGGCACCAAGCCCGTCACCAGAAACTCTCTCACGCGCTCTCACGCGCCGCCTCTTTGCTCGGCGCGTCTCTGCTTCCGTTGCCACGCTCACACGCGCCTTCACGCGCCTTCCACTCTGCCCTTTCGTGCGCCGAGCCTGCTACCGTGCACCCGCGTGCGCCATTCGTCTACCGTGAGCCGCGCGTACGCCGTTCCGCTATTGTGCACCCGCGTGCGCCGTTCCGCTATTGTACACCCGCGTGCGCCATTCTGCTACTATACGCCGCACGCCCTCTCTACTACCGTGCGCCGCACGCCCTCTCTGCTAACGTGCACCGCTGACATCATTTTCCATCCTGCTGACATCATCTCTACACAGCCCACCTTTCCTAGCTATTTTCGGCCTTCCGGACTCACTGGTACACTCTGTTTTACCTAATTTTGCTCCTACAAGTCTATTCCTATCAATTTAGCCCTACTCAACTATTACTATGAATCGTCATGATGCCTCCCATCCCATTTCCGTTATTTTGAATGGTTCCAACTATGTTCTATGGGCCCAAGCCATGTCTTCCTTCCTCAAAGGAAAGAAGCTCTGGCGAATTATCACCAGGGACATAACCCAACCGATGAAAGACACTACTGAAACCACTGTTTCTCCTGCTACTCCTACATATGAAGATCGTCTTGAGGAATGGGACAGTAAGAATTACCAAATCATTACCTGGTTTCGAAATACTTCTGTTACGTCTATCAGTCTTCAGTTTGGTCGCTTTCAGCTTGACTCTGTAACAACTCCTGCAAAAGACATCTGGGATTTTTTGAAAGAACGATACCAGACTACTGGTCTTGCCCATCAATATCAACTTCAGAACCAACTTCACCGCATGCGCCAAGAATCCACTCAGTCCATTAATGACTTCCTTTCTCAAATGTACTCTGTTTGGGATCAGCTTGCTCTTTCAGAACCAACTTGGCATAACAACGAAGATGCTGTTTTATTTACTATCTATCGCAACCAGTAAAGGTTGGTGCATTTTCTCATGACTCTTACTTCCTCCTTTTAGCCCGTACGTGCCTCTCTGCTTCATCGCCATCCATTGCCCACTCTTGAACAAGCAATTTCTAAGTTGCTATCAGAGGAGACTCGTCTCGGTACTCTTCAAACTCATCATGTGGAGTCTGTTCTTGCCACTCCTCCATCCCGGCCATCATTTACCCAGCAGACCACTGTTTGCCTCTATTGTCAGAATCGGGGCCTTCCTTCAACCCATCTCCTGGTCAATTGCCCCGTCAGATCCTGCCGCTACTGCAACAAACTTAGTCCTGGTCATCTGCAACAGGATTGTTTTCGCAATCCATCCCGATCATTCTCCAATAGCCACTCCTCTCGCAGTGGCTCTTCCCGGGGAAGCTTTCATCGTTCCGGGAATCAGTCTCATCACACTGATACTGCCGCCTCTGCGGGGTTCTCTGAGTCACCTGCTCCGTCTACCCTTTGCTTTTCTCCGACGGATGTAGAGGCCATGCTCAAACAACTTCTCTCCCCATCTGGTACACCTCCTCCTACTGCTTTGTCTGTAATCCCAGGTAACTCTTCTTGGTATTTTGACTCTGCCTGTTGTAATCATATGACCTCCAGTTCTACTATCTTTTCTTCCTTATCTTCATCTCCTCATATTCCCTCAATACATACTGCTGATGGTTCCCTCATGTCTGTCCGTCATGTTGGTACTGTTTCCACCTCTTCTTTATCTATACCTCAAGTTTATCATATCCCTGCTCTCACCTTAAACCTTATTTCCATTGGTCAATTATGTGAACTTGGTCTAACTGTCACATTTTCTACTATTGATTGTTTGGTACAGGACCCTCAGACAGGGCAGACTATTGGGATCGGCCGTAAGCACAGACGTCTCTATGAGCTCATTTACCTTCATGTTCCTGCCTCGTCTCAGATCGCTTTTCCCCTCCCTACATTCTACTTCTCTCATTATCTGCCCTTTTTTCAGTCTTGTCTGGTCTATTGTCGTTAGGCATTTTATTTCTTGTTAATCGCTTTAAAGTCTTTCCCGTTTTTTAATGGACAGTTGGGTCATGTACTATTTTCCCGGATAATTTCTCGATTTGTATACGCCTGCAACTTGTCCAGATACAGAACCTGCTTATCATTTAATAATGATAGTACTTCTTGTTTCGCCTTCACTTTTTGATCTTATACATTCGTGATATTTTGGGGCCCCTCTTCCTACTGACTACTATGGGATGATCCCTCCTATAGTGTTTGTTGTTTTTATGATGATTTTTCCCGGTTTACTTTGGCTTTTTCGTCTATGAAAAATAGTCTGAACTTAATACACATTTCATTATAGATTTGCCCAAATGGCCTACGCCCAATTCTCAAAAAAAAGCCATTCAAAAATTTTCGCTGAATATTGACAATTCAATTAAGCTATTGATATTATCGGGATTCAATTTCCTTTTCCTTTATCTCTAGTGCGTCATCATTGGTTACACTTGCTGCACTCATTTCGTTTCTTGTGGCTTTGCATCTCCCCAGGCAAAATGCCGCGTTGAAACGGAACATAGGCATATTCTTGACACTATCTTCTGCGCTCTCCTTCTCTCTTCTTCTAGCCCTGAAAACTTTTGGGGGATAGGCTACCCTCACTGGCTGTTTACACTATCAAACTGTGCTCCTGACCCTTCTTCAGTCCATAATCAAAACTCCCTTTTGAAACGTCTGCATGCACTTCCCCCTCCTTACAGCCAATCTCCGAGCGTTTTTGCTCTATCCTACTTTGTCTACTTACAATCCCATGAACACACTAAAGCTTGAACCTCGTTCTCGTCTTTGTTGCCTTTGGGTATGGAATTGAACATAAAGGCTTTCGCTGTTTGGGATCCTCGTTCTCTAAACGTCTTCGTATCTCCCGCCATGTTGTTTTCTGGGTCAGCACAATATGTTTTCCTATCGTTATCCTCCTTTTCAACTTACCCGCACTTTCCACTACTGTACTGTTTACCAATCCCTTCCATAGATCTTTTCTCTGCTGATTTTGAAATACAGGTTCCTCCTTCATCTGAGCGCCCCTTGCTCACTCCTGATCCTGTTCCAGCTTGCTCTCCCTGAAGGTCTACCTCTTATTTGCACACCCCTTCTCCGACAGTTCTTTCCTCCACCGATCCTCTACGGGTCGGACCACGTCGGGTAACTCAACCTCCATCCACTCTTTGTATTATATTGTTGGATCCTGCTGCCTTCTTCTACTTATAACCTACCTCCTATCGTGAGGTCTGTCTAAATCCTTCTTTTGGCAGAAGCTGATGATGATGACTCCAAGCTTGGACAAAGTCATACTTGGATCTTGTTGATCTTCTCCTTGGCAAGACTGCGAATTGGTATGCAAATGGGTTTACAAAATCAAAAACAATTCTGAAATGGCTTCTAATTGATACGCAACAAAGCTCTGTCTTGTTTGCCCAAGGTTTTCAAAAACCTAAGGAATAATGGTATTTGATATGAGAGACATTCTCTCCTGTTGCTCGGCTTACCCTGTTCGCAGTTTACTGCTGTTGCTACTGCTCGCCATTGGGGGCTTTTCAGATGGATGTCAAAAATGCTTTCCTCAATGGTCATCTTCTGAGGAGGTCTACATGCAACCTCCACCTGGTCCACTTTTCAACCTCATCAGTTTGCAAACTACAGCCTGTCTTCTTTATTGCCTCAAGCAAGCGCCTCGTGCTTCGCTTTTGCTACGTTCATATCTACCATTCATGACTTCGGGTTCACCTCTAGCTCCTATGACTCTTGCTCTTTTTATACGGACTACTTCTCCATGGTATCACTCTTCTTCTTCTGTCATGTGGATATATGATTATCACTGGTAATGATGAAGCTGGTATTCTCCACCTCAAACAGTTTTCTCCACCACAATTTGAGATGAAGGACCTTGTACTTTTAACTACTTCTTAGGCCTTGAAGTCTCTCATGATTCTACTGGTTCCTATTTGTCCCAGGCCAAATATGCATCCGATCTTCTGGCTTGGTGCTGGTCTTACTGATTGCCAAACTACCTCTACTCCAGTTTATCCTCAGATTCGTCTCACTCTCTCGTGAGGGACTCTTCTCTCTGATGCTACTCTTTATCGCCAGCTTCATTCGCAGTCTTGTCTATCTCACAGTAACTTGTCTTGGACATTGCCTATGCTTGTTCACATTGTCAGTCATACATGTCGGCTCCTTCGCACTCTCCCACATATACTGCTCTACTCCGCATCCTTCTGTTAGAATTTACCATTCACACTCACCTACTACACTCCACACCACCATTTTACCTCACCTACTCCTCACCTACTACCCAAACCCCTTCCTTATATAATGAGCCACTCTGATTTTGTAATACAAACATCTTGTAACAATACAATCAATAATAATACATCAGTATTTTACATGGTATCAGAGCAAGCGGTTAAAGATCTTTGTGTTCTTTCGCCTTCCGGCGGGCGGCAACCTTGCCTTGACCGTGTCGCCGGATCTCAACCAATTCAAATCTCCTCTCATTCTCCCCGTTGTCAACACTAGGAAACTAAAAAGGACAGCACTGGTCCACTCTGCAAAGCAGTTAATCACAGTCCACACGCACCAGGACCACTATTCTCAAAACTCTTGCTTCTGGTCTCAACTCAGTTCATCATCGGAGAGAGAGAGAGAGAGCCAGATGCATGTGCGCCACCGCCGACGACCTCGCCTCCGCCATCGCCGCCTCTGCCGTTCCTCCCTCGTCCTATAGCTCCTTTGACTAGGATTCTTCACTTTGATGTAAGTACAATCAGTGGAGAGCCCCTTCAGAAGGAGGTGAAACGGGCACCAATGATGCCGACCTCCGAAATCACATTACAGAAATAAAGAATAACCACCCAATTCTTCTTTTCTCTCTCCGCGCACATAGTCAAACCCATGTTCTTTGTATTCTTTTCTTTCTTTCTTTATTTCTTTCTTTTCCTTTCATTCTCTCCATAAGACCATCCACTCATTCTCTCTGGTCTTTTTTTTTATTTCCCCCACGTTCCCCTTCCTTTCCTTTCTTATATTTTATATATATATATATTTTTTTTATTATTCTTATATATATATCCACCACTCCTCTAAAATAATAATTCCTTTCTCTCCCACTTTTAACCCTCTCTTTCCTTCTTTTTTTTTAATCTTCATATCCACTATCTTTTGTCTTTCATATCAATGCCGCTGTGCCTTTGCCAAAATGCGATGATGATGTTTGTTTTTAACCAAAAAAAAAAAAAAAAAAAAAAAAAACATCACTCCATATTTATTTCATCTCCGGGATCACCCTCCGATCACAATTTTACACAAAAAAAAAAAAAAAAAAAACACAAACACAAACACAAACACACACAAAAACAACGGCTTTGTTTTCTTTTTGCAGACGGCCACACACCGACATCCCTTCTCTACTCTGCCGCGGTCTCTCTTCTTGCCTCCGTCCTGGGCGGGCCCTTTACGGTGTTGCTCCGGATTTCCCACGCCACCCGAGCACATTTACTCCCTTGCTCCTCCCACTACAGCATATGGTGGACCTCCAAATCGGAACATCACGGTGGCCTTCCGCTTCAGCTCCTTGTTTTTCTGCCCTTAGCACGCTTTATCTCTGCTCGCGCATCCTTATACATGCGTTGGAGCAGAGCCAGCTGGGAGTTTAATGCTGCACCTCATTTGTCCTACTTTGCAGCCGGCGACAGGTTTGTGACCGCCGTCATGCTTTCCCCACATGCCTTTCAAAGTATACTGATTGGCCTCCACATCCGACTGCACTGCCATCTTTGCTCCACCGACCGCATCGGAAAGTTCAACGGTGAGAACTCCGGGCGCTTGGTTGAGGTTCCAGTGCCACCGCACCAGTTCTCTCTCTCGTTGACTCGTTGAGGTCGGGAAAGAGGGTGAGTAGCCCGCCGGGAAGACGATGAAGCCATTTTCTAGGCAACAGAGTGTTACACAGTTTATCTCTCTCAGCAAACTCTCTCAGACAACCAGTGTTACAGAATCTCTTCAGAATATCTCTCGCAGGTTTTTTTGCCTCCGCTTAGCCTCTCCGTCTTATAGCCGAGGCAGCCACGCGCATCGCGCGCCTCTTGACGCCAGACAAACGGGCACGCCAACCAAGGCACTCACGTGCCTCGCCATGATGAAATCCGGCACACTATTTTGATGAATTAGGCACGCCTTTTGATGGCACGCCTTTTGAAACATTGGGCACACCTTTTGAGGTTTCGCATACTTTTTACAACACGTCCGACATGACCCCATAAACGTTGTCCCGACATTTGATTCCGGTTAGCTTTTCCAACGGTCCGACATGACCCTATAAACTGTCCCGACATTTGATTCCGGTTAGCATCTACAACGGTCCGACATGACCCCATAAACTGTCCCGACATTTGATTCCGGTTAGCATCTACAACGGTCCGACATGACCCCATAAACTGTCCCGACATTGATTCCGGTTAGCCTACAGTGTCCTCTACCACGTTATGACACACCCCTCCAGTGTCCTCTACCCCGTTATGACACCACCATACAGTGTCCTCTACACCGTTATGACACCACCATACAGTGTTCTCTACACCGTTATGACACCACCATCCAGTGTCCTCTACACCGTTATGGCACACCCATCCAGTGTCCTCTACCACGTTATGGCACCACCTTTCAGCGTCTTCACCAACGGTCTGACACGACCATACAGTGTCTCCTATCTTTTTTTTTATTTTTCTGTATTTTCTTGTTTATTTTTATGTATTTTCTTGTTTTGTTCCTCTCTTCAAACTCAAGTTGGTTAGTTTCTATCCTCCTTGAGTTTGCGGGGGGCTGTTAGAATTTACCATTCACACTCACCTACTACACTCCACCTACCACCAATTTACCCTCACCTACTCCTCACCTACTACCCAAACCCTCTCCTATATAATGAGCCACTCTGATTTGTAATACAACAATCTTGTAACAATACAATCAATAATAATACATCAGTATTTTACACCTTCGCTACCTTAAAGGCACTCTGTTCCATGGCCTTCACTTCTCTACTTCCTCCTCTCTTGAACTGCGTGCCTTTTCCGATGCTGATTGGGCTGGGGATCCTACGGATTGACGCTCCACCACGGGATTCTGCTTTTTCTTAGGGGATTCTCTTCTTGCTTGGCGTAGCAAAAAACAATCCCTCACTGCCCGCTCTAGCACCGAAGCTGAATACCGAGCTCTTGCGGATACTACTCAGGAACTTCTCTGGCTTCGCTGGCTCCTTGCTGATATGGGTGTTTCTTCTTCTGATCCTATCCCTCTCTATTGTGACAATCAGAGTGCCATTCAGATTGCTCACAATGATGTTTTTCATGATCGCACCAAACATATTGAGATTGATTGTCATTTCATTCGCCAGCATGTTACCTGTAGTACTGTTCATCTTCTCCCTATTGCTTCAGTCGATCAACCCCCTGATATCTTCACTAAGGCTCATCCTCCTGGCCGCTTCAATGATCTTGTTTCCAAACTCAACTTGGTTGATGCTTTCCCTCCTTGAGTTTGCGGGGGGATGTTAGTGTATAATTGTTATGTTAGTGTATAATTGTTAATAACTTTAATTATTACTAACTTTAGCACTTTATTCTTTATGTTTATGCTTTCGGTGTGCATCAGCATCCAATGCACCATAATTCTCTCTATAAAGAGAGTGCAGCATTCTCTTTTTAATACACACATTTATTGACAGACAAACAATACATTGTCTCTCTCTCTCTCTCTATCCTCTCTCACTTTCTCAAACTATTATTTCACACATAATATACATTCACAAGTACAATTATACAATAAAATACATTAGAAAACTGGGAACACTTCTTGCTTTGTAAGTGATGCAATAATAACAACTATTGGCATTAAATCACAACTATACAACAGAGTACATCAGAAATCTAGGGAACATTTACTGTTTTCTTTGTAAGTGAAGCAACTTCCTCAAAAGACAAGGGAATAGTAGTAGTAGAGGTAGAAAAAAAAAGAAAAAGCAGAGCTTATCAAATGCGTATGAATGTCAGCACTAAAGGTAGATTAAAAAATTCTCAACTTTAAATGTGTCTCAAAGAAATGAAACACTAATGCACAGTAGTGTAAAGTTTAGAGTTCAGATTGTAAACTACCTGGAACCAATTGGGATTCTCTGGACTTTGCTGAGCAGCAAGAACTTCAACAAACCCTTCATTCTTGTAGCCACCCAAGTTGCTTGCGTATGCCCGAGAGAGGTGGCGATTGAGTGATGCAGAATTAAATTGTGTCAGAACATAGATCTTCGATATGTTGCTGTTCAAGCAATTGCTGACCGGAATGTCGATCAGGCGATAATTTGCTCCCAAAGGAACAGCTGGCTTTGCTCTCTTCTTTGTAAGAGGGTAAAGTCGAGTCCCAGCTCCACCTCCAAGTATAATTCCCAGAACACTCTGTAAAGAATTACGAACAACACTAACCTAGTCATTCCTTTCTTGATATGAACTCAATCTAAGTATCAAAAGTTTTTATATGCTCCTAAGCATAAAATGCCAGCGCATAAGTTCAAAAGAAAAGTAACAAAATTCACATTTTCCGTCCTTTACAAAGACATCAGGAACCCCATTGCCATGGATCTTCTGATACACATTTCAGCTCATTTGACGTAAGCATCGGGAAATATAGTCCTTTGCATCATAATGATCGACCATTGAATGATTTAAGGTCTATAGAGAGTAGGAACCCCCTTTGATAACTTCCTATTGAGGTTCCCTTTTATTGTCCAGTCCAGCACACATGCCAAAATAAATGCACAAATCCCAGCAACAAATATATTCAGCAAAAAATGAAAACCAATAGCAAATTACGTAAATTCATTTTGTAAGAGCTGTACGTTAGCAGAGAAAAGTGAGTCAATAGATGGCCTCATGCAAGTTTCTCAATTGATTTCCTTCATCCTGTTACACTCAAGAAAAGAAAGGCTTCTAACGGCAATAAATGCATTCAGTAACCAATGAAAACCATAAACAAATTATGTAAACAGTTTTTCTAGGAACACATAAATGATCACAAAACCAGACACCAACCTCTCACATACATAGACCTCAAATTTCAACTCGTGTGAGAGGGTGGTGTCCGGTTTGATTTATGTGTTCCTAGACTTTTTCTTATGTAAATTGCTTTAACAAGATCCAAAGAGTAAATTTTTTCTCCCATGACCTGTAAGCAATGAAACGGAACATGAGAAAAGAACAAAACGTTCCTATATAGTTTTTGTTATGCCTTCGCAGCAAGCAAACAGAGCACAAATGCAATGAATGGCAAACAGAACATCAAAAGCATCAAGCAAAGCACCGAAGCTGACAATTTCTCCACATATATAGGACTTGTTCTAATCTAATCACAGTGAGATGCTAGAAGCCTCTTCACTAGTAATGAATCAATAAACAAAAATGTAACTCGTTAAGAGAGAGAAAGAGAGCACATCCTAGATCTAAAACTAAGTGTATCATTCACAATTTCAGCAACAGTTTTAGCTCCGTTTACAATTATTCTACCTGGATTTGGGGGAATTGAATCCTCATTTCAATTTTGCTCCATACAGAAAAAGGAAATTCATCATAAACTCCATTATACATTCGTATATACAATTCTCTATTCTATTATATAAATCGTACACTTCATTTGGTGTGAATGTTGCCATTTAAGGGGGAAAAAAATCTCACATCCACTAGTAACAAATAGAACAATTTTCTCATTCATCAAACTCATCTCAATCATCAAATTATTCAAAAAAATTTACGCTCCTCTTGTTTGGGCAAAAAATATTTTCTATTTGGTACAATGAAAAATAGAAAGTCAAACGAAAAACAAATCTATTTGGATATAAAATATTTTTTAATTTTAAAAGCAAAATAAATAAATAAATAAATAAATTCCGAACTAAAATCTTCCTAATGTCACCACATTATCACCATCACTCTCGCCTACACCACTGCACCACCACCACCATGGCCACAGCCACAGCCACCTTCACCCCCACCACCACCAAACATAGCAAAATTATTTCTAAAAAAAAAAATTCCATAAAAAAAAATGTTTTCAATGTTTTCCATTCAAACAAACACCAAACACAAAAATATTTTTTTAAAAAAAAATTCCATCAAAAAAATGTTTTTTATTATTAAAAAATATTTTCCGCCCAAACAAACAAGTATTTGAAAAGGCATAGCGATTGAATCTACGGTAATACTTGTATATATATAATATATCAAATTGTAAAGTTGTTCGTGAGTGCGAATATAGTAATCCTATACACATGCATATTATATATAAGTACATACGTATATTGAAAGCATTTACGAGACAATTACAGGAGAGAAAACAAAAGCGAAAGAACTGACTCTGTTAGCATCAGGATCGAGACATGTCTGCGAATTCTTCGAATCAGAAACGGCCTTGGGAGAGACTACGACGAAGGGAGTCTTCCTATCGCCGGAACAGACCTCGAAACGGCGTCGTGGAGAAGCCAATTTCGGCGAGATCTTGTCGCCGGAGAGACGAGACGATGCAAATGACAGCCTCCAAGACGACGACGTCACACGGTGGTCGTCGGTGGTTCTCTCGCCGGTGAGCCTATCAATGCTGCTGCGAGGCACCTTCAATGCTCCGATTGCTGCCATTGTTCACCACCACCGCTTCACCTTCTTAGAGATAGATAGAGAGAGAGTGAGTGATCAAGTGCCGGAGTAATATGCATGTAGAAAGATATTGTTCGCCGCTGGATTGGCATAGAATTACGGAGCCAACCTTGAGTGGGCTACCTCTTCCAATAGAAAAGTAAATGATTGTTTGGATATCTAAATAAGTGTATTTTTTGATTTTTTAAATTAAAAAATTAAGGAAAAAAATATAATTGTTTGGGTTAATTTTTTGACTTTTTATGAAAAAATTGTGTATTAAAAAATTATATAAATTAGTGTGTAAGGAAAAATTAGGATTGAGAATTATGCAGTCGTAATTTTTGACTTTTTGTGAATAGTGATAACTTTTTTACTTTTTAAATAACTTACCTTTTGACTTTTTGGGCACATGCCCAACTTGACCTAAGTATACAAGTATACTTTTTAAACTTATTTTATAGACATTAAGAAAATAATTAATTGATAATTAAGGGTTGGTTTGGAATGTTCTAAAAAAATGTACTTTTTAATTTATTGGCTTATATGGGTTAGGTTTGGATTGAGTTTGATGTGATGTGTTAGAGAGGTGATATGATTTAAATAAGATGATGTGACTTAAATAGGATAGTGACTTTTTAACTTTTTGTATTATCTAATAGATGTCAAAATTGGCCTAAATCAAAAGTAAGCTTGCTATGGACGTTTGGAACTATTTGGATCGCCTTTTCGATATAAGATTTCATTCAGTCCTGACGGTTTAACGTTTTTCACAGAAAATTTCAAATTGGCTACATTACATTTATGCTTCCTATTTTTTTGCAGTTTGAGAACTCTGGAAGGAATGCAATAACAGGAAATTCGAAAACGAAATATCTTAACCCGCTTTTATTATTCAACAAATTATGGACTAGTTGAAAGACTTCTTAGCTTCTTGACATCAAATCATCTGGGACGCTTAATTATTAACCAATTATTTTTTTTTGATACATCACTAAATCTAAAAAATATATATCTAATTTTTGGATCTGAATAGAAATGTTCTTCTTAATATATCATTTTTATTTTGATCTCTAATGAAAAAATAGAGAGGTATAGAGAGGAATGATAAAGAGTGATTAGTGAAGTCCATTTTATATCATTAAAGAATGAATTAGTGATGCTTAATTAAAACTCTGAGTCATTTTTCAGCAAACCTTAGGAAGAGTCACGTGTGGTGGAGGGTATTTTGGGGGTTAAAAGTGTAATTTTATTTTGTAAAGTTGTTGATAATTTCACGAGTGTAATTGATACGTTCACAGGTGAATCGTGATAGATTTTGTGATACACCATTCCTTTTTCTAATTTTAATTTTAATTTTATTTTATTCTATATTAAAAAAATTTATTTTCTACAACATCAATATTAACAAAAATGTTACAGTTCTCAAACATTGTATTAAAAATTTTACCAAACACTTTATTTATTTTCAACAACATTGAAATTAACGAAAATGCTACAATTCTCAAATATTTTATTAAAAATTTGATCAAACACTTATTTTGGTATCCTTAATATTCCTCTAAAATTAATAGTAAAATTATTATATATGTGACTTACAATCTATCAACTTTAAATTTATATATTGTATGTATGATTCATAATTTATCAATTTTAAATTTATATCGTCCATCTAAAAAAAAAATATCAAAAATATATACACTTATGAATCAAAATCATTCTATGATAAACTTTTATGATGCCCCTTCAATGCCAACCTTCCCATCAAGTTTCAAGAATTTTTTTCTTCTTCTTCTTCTTTTCCTTATTTATTTATTTTTCCACTTATGAGTAGTGTTCGGAGTCCTATCTTGATTAATTCTTGAATTTATGTAATTTTTTCATTTTTCTAACTATACATCCATCTCAAATAATGTTTTACGAGAATATATTATTTTAAGTTATTATTATTCTTATGAGACAATTAATTTTGGATGAAAATAATACTAATCATATGAGAGATAATTAGAACAATCATGCTAATTATTAAGTTTGAAACAAAAAAATAAAATGTTTTAAGTATAAGAAAATTATGACAAAACTCCATAGAGTTGTGTTGTTTATGTAATAGTATAAATTATCGAAAAATGTTAGAAACTCATAATTTTAGATTTATAAATTCATTCATAATGACGTGGTAAGAAAGTTGGGTTATATCATTGGGTGTTGTAACAAAAAAAAATTGACACCTATCATACCATGTTATTATGGATCAAATTGTGAAATTTTTTGTGAGTCTCAAATATTTTCTTAAATTATCAAACCTAAAAAATATTCAACTATTGATCCACCTAATATTACCTAACACTTCAGACTTGTTTTTTTTTTTTCCTCTCCGGTGTTTAAATTTACTAAGGTTAAACCAATCAAAATTAATACATATGATATCTAGACACATAGATAAATTTTTTTTAAAAAAAATTGTTTTAGAGTAAAAGGTATTTGTGGAGACATATTTTTAGGTAGTCCACGTGGCCAAGGTTGTTAGCCGAGGTGCCACGTAGGCGGACCATGGTGCCGAGATATGGTGTGATAATACCGGAATTTAAGATATTTGAATAGAGGACTAGAGGACTAGATAACATCAAGCTACCTATTTGAATAGAGATAGGACTCTTGAGGGAGTTCATCTTAATCTGAATAATGTAAGTTGTGATAAATGTTATCCTTATAAATGATAGAGTCCCGTGAAGTAAGACTTTTAGGAGAAGTTGGACACTGATTATTAAAAAAGTAAGGCACCCTCGTGGGTCTAAGGTATGCTTTATTTGAGATGTTTTTATGCTTTCATTGTTGAAGTTTAAGTACTTGTATTGATATCTGTGAGAGATAAGATTACTAACTTGATCGTCAGAGTGCCCCCGAGTGGATGAACCACCGCGGTATTCTCATATTCTTGTTTGCAGGTGTTCGAGCTTAATCTATTCTGCCGGTGCTCTCTAACTGAGTTTCCTGTTTGGTTGTGTAGTAAAAAATCAACACCCACAATTTGGTGCCATCTGTGGAAACTTAGTTAGAATAGATGGCCATCATCATGCAAGATCAACGTTTTGGCAACGACAAGTTTAGCAAAAATGAAGAATGTATCAACATTGACAGAATGTAGGCCCTTCCAGAAGGGATGAATGCAAAGATAAGGGGGAATGAGTGCTCCAGAGGAGATGAAGACGAATTTCAAGTAGACAAGATCTCGGCCTAGATGATTAGGTTCGAGAAGACAAGAGCTCAGCCTAAGTGAGCAGATCCCGGATTCCAGATCCCGGATCCCAGATCCTAGAAGATAAGATCTTGGTCTAGATGAGTAAGTCCGAGAAGACAAGAGCTCAGCCTAAGTGAGCAGATCTCGGATTCTAGATCCTGGATCCTAGATTCCAAATGACAAGATCTCGGTCTAGATGATTAGGTCCAAGAAGACAAGAGCTCAGACTAAGTGAGCAGATCCTGGATTCCAGACCCCGGATTCCTGATCCCAGAAAACAAGATCTCGGCCTAGATGATTAGGTCCGAGAAGACAAGAGCTCAGCCTAAGTGAACAGATCCTGGATTCCAAATCTCGGATCTCGGATCCCAGAAGACAAGATCTTGACCTAAATGATTAGGTCCAAGAAAACAAGAGCTCAGCCTAAGTGAGTAGATCCCGAATTTCAGATCCCGGATCCCAGATCCTAGAAAACAAGATCTCGGCCTACATGATTAGGTCTGAGAAGACAAGAGCTCAGTCTAAGTAAGTAGATTCCGGATTCCAGATCTCAAATCCCAGATCCTAGAAGACAAGATCTCGGCCTAGATGAGTAGGTTCGAGAAGACAATAGTTCAGCCTAAGTGAGCAGATCCCGGATTCCAGATCTCAGAGGACAAGATCTCGGCCTAGATGAGTAGGTCTGAGAAGACAAGAGCTCAGTCTAAGTGAGCAGATCCCGGATTCCAGATCTCGGATCCCAGATCCTAGAAGACAAGATCTCGACTTAGATGATTAAGTCCTAGAAGGCAAGAGCTCAGCCTAAGTGAGTAGATCCCAGATCCCAGAAGACAAGATCTCGGCTTACATGATTAGGTCCAAAAAGACAAGAACTCAGCCAAAGTGAGCATGTGACACCCTAATTGTTTAATTAATTTATAATAATAATAATGATGATAATAATAATAATAAATAAAAAAATAAAAAATACTAAGAAAACATTTAAATAACATGTGCTAAAATAATCTAATGGTTTAATTATGTAAGAATTTGGGCCAAAGATAAATAAATAAATAAGTAAATAAATAAAAAACTATTTAAACTTGTCCTTGTGGGATAAGTTCATATCTCTGAGGGATACCTTTTAAAACATCATAATGGCTTAGCTTAAGCAACATGTCACCCTAAGGACGTGCTGAGCAAGTTTGAGGCTTAGTATAAAAAGGGGAGTTGAGGTGAATAGGAAATCAAGGAAAAAAAAAACACAAAACTAATGTAATCGGGAGAGAGAGTCAGCTCGCAGTGAAGGGAAGCACGATTAGGAGTTACTATTTAAGTGAGTTATATTATATCTTGAGCTATCATAATATGTTTTATATATGTCTTGAGTTACTATAATATGTTTTAAGAATATTTTGAGTTATTACAAATTTATTTTATATAATTCATGCTTTATGGTTATGTTAATGTTTCAATTACGTGGATTATTTTTTTAACTCTATTTGCTTAAATTAAAACCCATAGATATGTTTGTTTAAATGTCAGAAAATATTTGATAATGATTTTATAAACTTTTGTTTGAAATAAGTACCACCACGGAGGTTCCATGCCTTGGGGACTTAAATAATTATTGGCCCTCTGAATTGTCACTTTAATGACCATTTGACAGTCCGATACCTTGAGGGACTTAAATAACCTTTGGCCTTTTGATTAGTCACTTCGTAACCATCTATCTATCATGGATCCATTGACCCTCTGTTCTGTTATGTACCGTGGTTATGATTATTTTGTTATATAATTTTGTGTTATATGTCTGTTATTAAAAAATAATTTATTTGAACCAAACTATTCATCTTTAGCCTAAATAATTATTCATGATGATTTTATACCCTCATACTCTCAGTATAATATTTCTCACTTTGC